CAAATTGTTCTATTTTCCCAAAACATTTCATTATTTTAGTTATACTAAGTTTCCATTTGTATTGTCAGAAGCTAGGGCTGAGACTCTTCACACGCAGGCCCACACTCCAGGTAATTGGGAAAGATCCCAGGGGCCATTGGCAGATAACTTAAGCTCAGTCTTCAGCTTCTTCAGCAGCAGCAGCTTACAGCAGCAGTAGCAGGAGGAACAGCAGCGATGGTGGCCTCTTGGGTCATCCTGGGGGCACTGGCAGCAACAGCTTGCAGCAACAACCTCCAGCAGCAGTAGTGGCCTTCCTGTGTTCCCCCCAGGGCCATCCTGGGGGTGGGGGGCACTGTGGATCAGAGCCACTCATCCTTTATACTTACGTCCATAACCCAGGACACCTGGGTGCACATACATTAGACAATAGCCAAGGAACACTTGGGCGCATGTGGATATTTACCTCAAATGCTCAGCAAGATTCTGAACATCTAAGGGGACCTGATCATTTTCCTTCACTTTCCCTACACTCAACAACAGCCAGGCTTGGGCTGAAGGGACCTGATCACCCCACTTTTGGTTTTTAGATTTCTTTTGGCTCTTATCACCTACTGTGTATCCCAGGCCTCACACTGCCGGATTTCCTTGGGTGAGAACAAACAAGATGGTTCAGGCTCCAGTGGGCACTGCTTTCCTGGTCTCTCCCTCTGCTCACATAGGCATAGAGGGCGGGCAGATCACCAAGTTCACTGCCTATGCAACCACAAAAGGTATGCTAGTCTCCTTTCAGGAACAATTGGTCATTATAATTGGTTCTGTTAGAACCTTCCTCACTTAGTCAATGGAAGAGAAGCAAAAGACCCTGTATTCTATCTTAAGTTAATGACTTAACAATTCTTGAATTTTCTCTCACATCCCAGTTACCTCTTACAAGGAATGGAAAAGGCCTGTGGTGTAATGTAACAGGGTCAGCCCAGCTTTTAATAGGTCTTAATGAAGGTGTGTCTGATTTTCTTGATGGCTCTTTTTTGAACAATATTTTTCTCAGCCTTGCATAGTCATAGGAATCATCTGGAAGCTTAGAAAAAAAAATACACACCGATGAGTGGATTCCACTCTTACAGATTTTGATTTAATTGGTCTGGGGTAGCAGGCCCGTTTCAAAACTTCACAGGTGATTCTAGTGAGCAGCCTTTGCTAAGAACCACCGTTTTAGAATGCGGGTGGAACTTCACATTAATTGCTTTTATCTGTGAGCTTTAATCAATAATTCTGAGACTCCTGCCTTCTTCTCACAGTTCCTGAATCAACATCTCTCAAATGAAGATGAGTGTCAGGAGCCTGCATTTCAATAAGCTCTCCCAGGTGATTCTTCAGCACATTCATGTATTAGGACCATTAATCTACAGCAGAGGTTCTTAACCCTGGCTGCACATTAGAATCACAGAGAGACCTTAAAAATACCCATGTCAACTATAGCAGTGATTTCAACCTTGGCTGCACTTTGGCATCTCCTGAAGGAGTTTAAAAAGCCCCATGCCCAGTCCCCCTGCCCCTTCCTGTGCCAATTACATGGGAATCTCTGGGTTGGGACCTATCCAGACATCTGTGGTTTTTAAACTTCCCCTGGTGATTCCAATATGCAGCCAAGGTTGAGAACCACTGTTATAGAGATTCTGGTTTAATTTGTTTGGGGTGGGTCTCAGGCATTAATAATTTTTAAATGTACCCCAGGTAATTTTAATGTGCAGCCCAGGTTGAGAGCTACTGAATAATCAGATTGGTGCCATTTTCAATTTTTCAGAACTTCCCCTAATGTAGTCACTAACACCCTTCAGCCTGCATATGCAGGCTGGCCTCCTTCCCCCACTCCAGATCCAAGCAAGGCTTGACCAAGATCCGGAAGTCTGAGAAATTACAGGTTCACACAGACATAGACCTCTAACACCTGCCTTCCCGAGCCAGTCTCTTTAATTAGTCTGTCATTTATTCAACAAATGTTCCTTAAACATGTAATATTTGTCAGATACTGTGCAATAAACTGTGGAGACAATGACAAATAAGATATTGTTCCTGACACTTCACGAAGCTTATAGACTTGTGGGGATGAAGGAGGGAAATGTGCATGCAAACAGAGGTACAGCAGAGTAGTAATTATTACAATGGATGAGTGAACAAGAAACCATGGGAACATAGACATGACAGCAACTACAGCTGCTTGGGAGACTCAGGGAAGACAGGTTTGAAGAAATGCTAGGTCTTCCCTGCAAGGCCTAAAATATACTCCAAGATGTGATTTCTGTCCATCTCATCTCTTGCTACTCTCGCCCTGGTTCAGCTTTAGCCCACTGAACTCCTTTCAGTTCTTGGAAGGTCCCACGCTCTCTTAACAAGCCTTCAATCTGCATTTATTCCCTTTGCTTGGGAACATTCTTTCCCCTTTCTCTTCAGGAACCTCCTACTTAGGACTCTGCTTAGGTTTTACTTCCACAAGTAGGTCCTCCCTGACCTCATGGATGATGATAAATATCTTTGTTAGACATCCGTGGACCAACCTATAATGCTGCGTTTATCACACAGCCCACTTTTTTGCATGTCTGTGACCCCTCAAGCCTGTAAATTCCATGAAAGCACAAAAAGGGGCTGTCTCCTTTACCACTGTGTCTCCTGTGCACAGCACATTGCCTAGCTCTACTGAATGAATGGATGAATTGCATTCTAGGAACAGGGGATGATTTGAGGCAAATCGTAGAGGCATGGTATTGTGTGGCATGTTCTAGGAATAGCAAAAATTTTGGATAGCCAATGTATAGGATAAGCAGGAAGAGGTATCCAGAAATGAGTGAGAAGAGGTTGGCTATTAAAGGCTTTATCTGTGACCCTCAGTGAGGAATGGGAAGCCAGAGAAGGTTTAATGTGCAAAAATAATAGTTAGGTTAATCATTTCAGGACAATTACTCTGGAAGCAGTGGTGGCGGATGGACTGAAAAAGAAAATACTAATTTAAAAAAGATCAGTTAGGAGATGTTCCAGGTGAGAAATGATAAAGGCTTCCCTGAAATTATGAAGCAAAGAGGCTCCATTCAAAAAGCATTTCTGAGATACAATTGACAGCACTTGCTGACTAACTGCATGCGGGGGTGAGTGTGAAAGTTGATGGCTTGGTCTAGTTTGGGAGACAGGCTGGGTGTGGATACTGTTAGTGGAAATACAAAATATAGGAAGAGAGGAGCTAGTTTTAGGGAAAAATAATAAAGAGCTCAGTTTTAAACCTGTTGGGAATTCCATATGCCCATGGACATCTGAATAGAGAATTTTATGCAGCTAGAATTGAATAAAATCCCAGCTTGGCACCTTATTGATTGTGGATGTGACTGGTATTGTCCAATTGAATGTATTGACTTTTAGTTTATGCAGTAAATGACAGACTTTGGAAACTGGCAGTGTCATATTGATTTAATGATTTGTGCTACTTTGGGCTACAATTGGCAATCAAAATAACTACTTCAGGGAGAGTCCCTGTTAAAGTCACTTTGTGGTTATTTGTTTGGTAGATACTTAAACCTATGCTAACCCCATCTGAATTCTGAGCTGGTAACAATTTTATTATAAGTATCTGTGCTATTATATTCCTTTCTCATTAGACTGTGGAGTCAGAGAGAGAGTGCCTTATCTTTCTCAAGCTAGTGCCTGGTATAACAGGAACTCAAATTAGTGGATGGATGGATGGGTGGATGGATAGATGGATGGGCAGAAGGATGGGTGGATACATGAACGAATGAATTTATAACCTGATGGCAGGGAAATGGGATACTTTCTGCAGCTAGTCACCTAGGAATTGAAAACCTCATATCCTGCAACACAAATTCCTAAGTGACTTTTCAGTGAGCTGTTGACTGTAGCAATAGGGGTAGAAGAGATCTCCCATAAATATATTTAAGATGGCCTTTCATTATTTCATTTTCTCTTGGCAGTATGAAATAATTAAGGGAATTTTCAAGTTATGGCTATAAAAGACAATATGTTTCTTGACATTAACCTTTGATATTTTCAAGTGTAAAAGAGGTATTTATTTATTTATTTATCTATTTAAAGATGACTGGTAAGGGGATCTTAACCCTTGACTTGGTGTTGTCAGCACCGCACTCTTCCAAGCGAGTGAACCGGCCATCCCTATATAGGGATCCGAACCCGTGGCCTTGGCGTTTTCAGCACCACACTCTCCCAAGTGAGCCATGGGCTGGCCCTTAAAAGAGGTATTTAAATTAACTGTTATTAAAAACTCTTTTGCATGGTACTGTTTTAGAAGCTGGTAGGTAGGTACATGAATTGATCCTTGTTTTAGGAAGATAACTTTGTGGACCCTATAAAGACGTTGGAGAAGAAATGATTGTAGTTGGACAGAGGAGAGATAATGAAGGCCTAGAATAATGCAATGGCAATGAAATGGAGAGATTCCGTTCATTCATTCATTCATTCATTCATCAAACATGTATTCACTGTATTATACCACACTCTGGGATGCAATGGTTACCAAACCAGACAAGTTGCTACCCTTAAAGAGTTTATAGACAAGTGAAGCACATGCACATCAATCAAATCATTATATTAATAAATGCAACATTGCAACTGTAATAAATGTGATATAAGAAAGGAGGGGTCAAACTGAAAAAAAAAAACTCATAGGTAAAATTGACAAATATAGTTTGGCTATTAGCGTGTCAGAATAAACAATAGACACGTGTCCTGCTCTTCTTTCCTGAAAGAATACTTAAACTGATCTGTGTGACAAAAATAACATATATGAAATACCATCAAAGAAGATGTATCAAGTTACAAATTGTGTGGACCAGATTAAAATGAACTTTTACCAAAAAATGAGCTCAATAAGCTATGAATTGTAAATTTTGATTTTGCAATTAATTTCACTTGCAATTAATGTCACAATTCAATTGGAATAATGGTACTTTGCTGCTGAGATACAGTTTATCTAGATCTTTTTTTTTTTTTTAATTCAGATGTTGCAAGAGCAATTGAATTACTGGAAAAACTACAGGAATCTGGAGAAGTACCAGTGCACAAACTACAATCCCTCAAAAAAGTGCTTCAGAGTGAGTTTTGTACAGCTATTCGAGAGGTATGACACTAAGATTTTAATAACTATATCCATTCAGCCATATGTCTTCTGAATAGAAAACATGTCTTTTCCACACAAACAGTTGAAATAGTTGAGATTGGAACTACATCTTAATTTTCTGTTTTAAGTTCCTTGGACAGATGATAAAATATAATTTAGTCTGCTAAATTCTTAAATTAGATCCAGCCAGGTTTTATACATACATATAAAACCAAATTTTTATCTTACGGTGCCAATGAAGGGACTGTCTCAGCTGGTGACTGTTGCATGTAGTCTAAACTATTTACTGGTCACATGAAACCACCTGGAAATTTATATAGGAACAGTCATAATTAATGGTAGCTCAGCTTTTCTTAGGAGAATACTCAACTAAGTCTTTCACAGGTAAATCTGGAAGAATAAGCTCCTGATGACTAAAGTTATAGTCATACACTCATTACTATTTAGTGCAATAATGGAAAATCTCCGAACTGGCTGATATGTCTTTCTAACAAATCCTTGTAATACTTTCCTGGCTAATGGTTTTAAGACAACTAAGGTGAAACAAGTGTGTTGAAATAACTGCATTTTGTATTGACTTGTGGTGGAACTGACTCTTCAACTAATGAATTTCATAGGTTACAAGAGAAGCCACTTGAGATATATAAGCTATATTGCTTATTCAATAATCTATTACCCCTTCCCCATTAGGTACTAGGTGATAATTCATTAATTAGAACCTACAGTCTATTAATTCAGTATATTTTCCCTGCTAGAAGTCCCCAGTGATGAATTATCTACTCCATTCTCTCCAAGGCCAGTTGAACCCAATGAATACTTGGAGAGTTTGCTGTAGCGTAGGGCATACACCTCTCAAGGAATGCTTGTATCACCCTCTCTTCCTCATTGCAACTTTACTTGTGGCTAATGCACATTCTTTTGCCTCAACAATGCTAGTTTACAAATGGTCATTAGGTGGAAAAGACCCAGGTGACTAAGGCAGAGACATAGCAAACCTCTCTCATTGCAGATTTAAACTAATGCCTATGCAATGCTGTTGAAATTTGGCCTCTTCTGGGATTTAACTTATAGTGTACTTGTGCTAAATATTGTTCACTATTTAATTTTGTTAATATTGAACACAGCTTAAGTAAATAACCATAATTGCACCTCTAAGTTTTAACCTATAAATTAGATGAAAGGCTGAAAGGAAATTTCTCGAAGTATTTGAATTCTCTGCTACTGGTTTCTCCTCAGTGGAAAATGTATAAGATATGTAGAAACCTCATGGGCTTCTTCTCAGTTACTGTGGTCACTCCCGTGGTCACTATGTAGACAAAGGCTAAACCCACTATACATTCTTTTTTGCCTTCGCAAAATGCCATTCACCTGAGATCTGGTGGCTGACTTTTCTTTTTTAGAGATTCTATCATCTTTTCTGTTTCTTAGCATTTTGCTTTCCACCAAACTAACAAAAGGATAGGACACATCAAATATATATCTCTGCTCACTGGGTATATGGCTCATGATCAATTCAAAGTCTCTACCTTCATGGAACTTATATTCCAGTGAGAGAAACTTATGATAAATAAGTATATTATACAATATCACAGAGTGAAAAGTCTATGGAGAAATAAAGCAGGATTATAGGAGTCAGGGCAAGACTACCAAATTTAGGGTGCTCAGAAAAAAAAAATTGAAGTAATGGAACAAGTCACACAAATATCGGGGAATAGTGTTCCAGTTAGAGGAAATACATGCAAAAACTGAGGGGCAAGAATGATATTAATCCACAAAAAGGAGCACCCCAAAAGCTAGTATCATGTAAGGCGTCGCATGCCATAGTAAGGACATTGAGTTTCATTGTTAATGTGATAGGAAGCTCTTGTGGAGTTTCGACATGATCTCATTTGCTTTTTGAAAAATGTCTCTCTGGCTGCTGTGAGAATACAAGTATGGATACAAGAGTAGAAATGACAGAGACCAGTGATAAAGTAACAAGTAGATCAAGTGGGCACTGAGGTGATGGCAGCTTGGACAAAGGTGACAGTAGTGCAAGGAGTGGGAAGTTGTCAGATTCCAGATATATGTTTTTGAGCAATGTTAACAGAAATCGTTGATGTATTGGATATATAGGCTATGAGAGAGAGAAGACTTGATTGATTCTTATGTTTGGGCTTGAACAGTTAGCTGAATAATGATATGACAAGGTGGGAATCTTGGGAGGTAGGCCGAGTTGGGAGACTATCCAAGAGCTTTGTTCTGGACATAGTAAGCTGATGATGCTTTTCAGACATCTCTACTTGGATGGCATCTACGTGTGATGCTTGGGGAAAAGTTGGGTCTGGAAACATAAAGGTGGTATAGATATCTATTCAAATAAACACACAGGCCTTTTTTATTTAAAGAGTTTGCTAAGGAAAAAGAAAATGAGAGTAAAAATTAAAATAGATGTGGAAACTTTGTATAGATAGCATATAAAGTGGTTAAGTGGGTATGTATGTCATTAGCTATCCATGGTAGTTTATAACTGATCAATAGGCAATCCAGCAGTTTCATAAAGAGAAGAGATGATGTAACTTATCTACCTTAAGTTTTACAAGTTTGGACTGGTAAGATTAATTTTATGTTCACAGTAATTTCCTTAGTAATAATTTTGTTCTTAAAGGCAATGCATGTTATACAGAACTTGGAAAGGTCACTTCATCTTGGCTAGGATTTCACATCAGTTTTATGGTATTGTTTATGTTTGTTAAGTTTGGAATTTTCTTCATTTTCTTATTGTGTTGCTTTACATTACCATGTTCTCATTACTATGTTTACATTACCATGCTCTCATTACTATGAGAAGTAATGGTAAAAATAGCAATATGTATACAAAAATAATGAATAATGTTGTGAATCTGTCCAGTGAAAAGTTCTTCAGTAAAAATATAAAGCATAAATACATGTTGCCAGGCAGCTGAATCCAAAAGCCAGTGAAAAAATGTGCAATTTCACAAAGAATAATTATGTTGTGTAATGATGAATATTCTAATTATCCTGATTTGATAATCGCACATTGTACACAGGTATTGATATTCTGTAGCCCATAAATATGTATAATCAATTATGTTTCAATAAAAAAAAGAAATGTGCAAATAAAAAATATGACAACGAATATCTGAAAATTAAATCATATTGAACCAAGAATATTTTCACTCCTGGCCTGTTATGCTGCCAAGAAACCTTTGAAGTTTTGGTTTCTTATTCATATAATGCTCAGAATCTTTGTGGTTCGATTATTTGAGTTTTTCAGAAGTATTTGCTAGTTAGTACGTTAGTTACAGTGTGAAAATTCTACGTTTTGTCATGGAAGGTCGAGAAAAGAATAAATGTTACAGTGGCATCGTTCTTAGTGGCATTCAACAGAGAAAAAACAGGTACAGGTCACACCTGTACCAACAAAATTGTAAAACACAAATTATGCTCAAAAAGAAAGCAGGGGCTGGCTGGTTGGCTCGGTTGCTTAGAGTGCGGTGTTATAACACCAAAGTCAAGGGTGCGGATCCCTGTAATGGCCAGCTGGCAAAAAATGAAAAAAGAAATAAAAACAAAAATAAAAGAAAGCAGGAGAAGCTGTTGCCAAGTTTTTTAAATTGTCTTACATAAGTGTAACAGCAGTTATTATATGTTGAGGTAATCCCATATTTTGCTTTACATTTAGATGAAACCACTGAATCAGCTGTTGGCATATGTGCAACACATATGTGAGGAAAATAGTTTGATGAAATTTTGTTATTTTTTTTTGTTTACTAGAAATGGATGCTTAAAAGAGATTACAAATTTTTCCTTACTTATTTTTCTGTCATGTGTAATAAAGACTAAAAAAAGTAGAAGAAGTCTTCAAAAAGTTCACTGAAAGATTTGTGATATCATTTAATTCAATTTTTCCATGAACTTTTTAAGTACCCTCATATGCTGAGATCAGTACTGAAGGAAGGTCATTCATGTATACAACTCAGAAAGGCCTTGCTCTATTAAGAAGTAACTTACACTTGAATGCCAATCCACACACAGCTTTATTCACAGAATACAGATAGGAGTCAGCAGTATATTACTTGATTGTGTTTTATTGCTGAAGGATCTCAAAAGAACCCTGATCAATAATTAAATTGCACCTATTCTGTGCAAGGAATTTCAGAGTATCAGGCAGAGAAATAGACTGGCACATGATACTACTTTTCTATAATGAGATGCCCTGGCTGATAAGAGAACTTTCACACATGTTTATGAAAGACAGAAGGAATAGAAATTTTGTGGTACTTGTATTCCTAGTAAAGACCACTTCTATGATTTTAAGTGACTTCCTCAAGTTTTAGCTTGGCACAACATTAATTAGCTTGAATGACCTAAACATTTAGGGTTGAAATATAATAATTATAAAATGTTGATTTGTGAATAAGAAAATTTTCTAAGAGAATTGAATTGCAGTACAAATATCTCAATTGCCAAGAGATGGACTTTTTCCTGAAACTTCATACTCTTTGTGCCTCAGAAAAAGAAATCAATAAACGTATAAATGATCATATTTTAAGAGGCATCCAATTTCTGCAACAGAATGCAAAGAAATTCTTTCCACAACCAAAGTGATCAAAAACCTAATTAGCAATCTATTCACTGTCATCATCTTCCAAGTGGTAAAACATTCAAGCTTTCCAGGAAGACGTGTTCACTGAACTGGAGCGCGATGTGCTGCTGACAGTGGCCTGTCGTGAGGATCTGCTCCGACATCTATAAATGTCATATCCATGTTTGAACCAAAAATGAGAACAAAATGACACAGGTACCAAAAACTGCCTTCTTTGGCCAGTCACCAGATGTTCCATGTTAGTATTTTCTAATGTAATAGAACTGTAGAATAAGAGAATAAACCAACTCCATGTGGAGTAACTATCGTTCTGCGATTGTCAATAGAGTAGTTCAAAAATATTCCAGTTCTCCTTTACTTCTTAGCACGTGCTAGGGTTGGATTTCTCCAC